AAAAAAAAAAAAAAAAAAAAAAAAAAAAAAAAAAAAAAAAAAAATCTATCGTTCAGGCGGCCTTGGGGGTGAGAGGTTTTCTGCAGATTTTTTTTTTTTCCCCTCAGACCATAAGCGAAGCCGGGTGATGCTCCCCATCTGCCCTTTCTACCATTATTGTATTACCAAGGACGGTAGACCCGGTTGCCAGCAGGTGCAGCTCCCCACCAATGCACCGTAGTCATCCACGAGACACCTCGATTCGTCCTTAGACCACCAACCCCAAACAGACGTAATGCTCCCCGTCCACTGGACTCTAAGTCTCTAACTACTAAACCCTTAACCAACAAGGTTAGGCCCTGAGACGTAAAAAAAAAACAGTGGTTTCCAGATTCCGGAGAGAGTGCGCAACTTTGCAACAGCAACAACTCAGGTGCTGCTCCCCACCAATAGATGGAGCGGCCCACTAGGCAAAGCCTCAATCCCGGTGGTTGTCCTACCACCACCAGGATAGAGGTCTTGCACAAGGGCCTTTCAAAAAAAAAAAAAAAAAAAAAAAAAGAAGTGATAGACAGACGCGGGAAACATTGGTTTCCAAAGATTATTAAAGGAGGTACAGGCCTGTACAGGTGGTTGATTAGACTTTCATTGAATTGCAGGTACACGATCATATGCATGGCTGTGTTCGAATCAGCTGTCGGCCATGGACTTACGGGACACATGTCGGTCGGTGTTCATCGCACTTCATCCGGATTACCATGCGTGTGTTAAGCATGCGCTGTTTGTGTGTTCAAAATGTGTTGACCGAGGACTTTAAGCTGCGGCAGCGCGGCTGTTAAAAAAATTAAAACAGAACGGTGCGTTAACGCCGCCGAACTTAACGGATATGTGATGACCCAGTCAGTGTCTGCTATGTCATTATACAATTTTCACTGATCTGGAGTAACAAGTGAGACTTATAAAAGCTGATTTCAATTTGAACCGCGCTCTGATTTTAGCTCTGGTTACGAGCCTCGAGATAGCCCAGGGCCAAAGGTACACTGAAGCCAAGTACAGGCATAGTTTTCTTTCCTACTTTTTGTCCTGATGGCCAGCAACTATGGTTAGTGATATGCAGCTCATTGTCACACTTGAAGCCCAGAAGCTTGTGGCAAACTCACTGACTGACTGACTGTCCGTCTGTCGATCAGTCAGTACGTCCGTCCGTCCGTCCGTCCGTCCATCAGACGATCGGTTGGTCCAACGGTCTGTCGGTTCGTCCGTCTGTTGATCTGTCCGTTGATCCGTCGGTCGCTCCGTCGCTCTTCATCCATCTGTACGTCCGTCGCTCTGTCTTTCTGTCTATCTGTCCATTCGTTCGTCGCTCTGTCTGTCTGTCTGTCTGTCTGTCTGTTCATCTCTCTCTCTCTCTCTCTCTCTCTCTCTCTCTCTCTCTCTCTCTCTCTCTCTCT